TTGTTTAATGGAACGTTCTGGACACTAGATGCGAAGAGAGTGCATCCATATTATGTATTTTGGAGCCTCATGTGTGATTTTCCCTTGCTTTAACAAATTTGAAAATACCTTAGATGAATTTACTTGATACTTTAAAGTTAGCTTATGACATCTACCAAAACACGAGCATCATAATTATTACCTTTAGTAGGCTAACACAATCTGATTGCTTCTTATACTATGAAAGCATAACACATTAAATTAAATCATAGATCAGAATTGAAGTGGACCTTTCCTGTGTGTGTGTGTGTGTGTGTTATTTTAGATGGCTTCCTTTTATGGTATGCCATAAGCTAAATAAAAAAAAAATCACTCCTAAAATGTGACACAATAATAAATCGTTTTCTATAAACAAAACCAAAATTAAGCACCTTAGAGTAGATAACCATTTAAAAAATAATGTGAGTGAAGAGTGTGCCAGCTTCTCCACCTTTTAGGAAGGTGTGCCATTAGACTCAAGCTTGCTGTGCTATGGTTTTACTACTGTAGGATTCAGGCAGAAAAACCCCAGGACAGGGCAAGGTAAATTTTCACTAAGCAAAAAAGCCTTTCACCAAAGGTTTATGAGTCAGTACAAATTTGTTTTCAGAAACACCAGAGGGCGCCAGGGCCTGCAGCATGCAGGTGCAATCTTAACTCGCAGATCACACACACACGCTCACACACACACAGACACACACACACACACACACAGAAAAGAATACTCACTAGTAGAAAACCATCACTTCTAAAGAAATATATTTACATGTAATAACATTGTGTCGTTAAATAAGGAGAAAACAGAGTCAACTGTCATACATTGGTGAAGATAAAATAGAATTTTTGTTATTTCTTCTGAATCAAGTAAGTAAAAGGTGTAGTTTTAAAACTGTTGACACTAGTGATTCATTTAGCACCATATATTTAGCACCAAAATAGATAAGTATTGGTAGTTCACACTTAATAATAACAACCGTAGTTTCAGAGAAACCTCAAAATTCTAAACATAGGTGATTGTAATTTTTCAGCACCATTAACCAGTGAATTATTAAACTTTCTCAATTTTAATCCACATTTTACAATTCTGAGTTGAGCCATGACACATTTTTAAAAGGCGCTTTCATTTAGATGTCTTCACCCACATATATAACAATACAAAACCTTCATAAAAAATAAAGACAATGTTAGCTATTAGTAGAAATATAACTTTATCTCCCCCCCCCCTGCAAATTCTTCAGTAGGTAAAGCTTTCCATCTATCTTGAGATTCGCATCCTACGATACTGTGAAACCTAATGGGACAGACAGCCCAGAGTTTCAGCATCGCTTTTCCTTCAGGAAAATATTCAGCTCATCTATTTATTTATTTTTTTTTTTGCATTATTTACCAAACAATGCATACACCGAAAACACTTCAAGTGGTATAAATACACACTGGATTTACTAGAATAAACTCCGTGAGCTTATCGACTACAAAGATATGGGAAATATATTGTTTCAATTAAAATATTTAGAATAGGCTTTATTGGTTGGACTCACATTTCCTCTTGGTCTGCTCTGTGCTAGGATGTGGAAAAATTAGAAATGTTATTTTCATGAACATCTCAGGCTCAGGTGACAGTAGAGCCAGCCCAAATTTCTAGGGAAGCTTTGAAGGGCCAAGCCATGGTGACACCAAAGGCAAAAGCCGTAGTATCAATAATTCAAGCCCTACGTTGTCACAGCAAGCTTACCTACCACTGTAAGAATTCCATAGTAGAAATTGTGGACTTCATTTCAGTTGTTTTTCCCACATGAAGGCAAAAGAAAAAAATGTATATTGTGGCAAAATGTTATTTTCCTACTAAATAAATAGCATTTGGGGACATCTACGCTGTCAGTCACATTATGTTTTAATGAAAACTTTCCAAATAAAAATTTTAATGCTGACTATTTAAAGCTGTCTGTATGAAACAGTTTACAGCCAGGCCTGTTCGACCTGTGGGAATTACAGTGCAAGCCCTTTAGCCTAGCACCCCGGTGAAAATGGAAGGCGCTACATTGATGCAAGCACACACAGCCATTTTATATGCCAACAGTAAAAGTTACAGACAGAGTAACAGATATACCCATTGTGTTTCCAGCTCAGTTGTTAATGTTATCAGGAAGCTACTGGTCCTGTTATAGTGGTGAAAGGGTTGTTTTGCAAGCTTGTAGACCCTAGTTTCAATTTCATACCATGGATGTTTTGTTTGAGGGTTTGCTACATGCAAACTTTTATGTTTTAGAAAATTTGTGGTCTTTGAAAGAATGGAAAGGCAGAATTCGTTTTAACTTTCACAAGTTTTTTAAACTAATTCTGAAAACTCAACTGAACTAAACATTTACTACACTATAGCCACTGTGTAACATGCTGTAATAAATGCAATGAATTACATGGAGTTCGTGCCAAGGAGAAGCTCTGGAACTGATCGTTTTAATATTCATAAATTTCTGTTAATATGATTAATTAACCTTCACGGGACAGTCTGTGAACTACATATCATCCTGTCAATCTGAGAAACCCAGTTACCCATGAAAGCTAGAAAGAAACCTAGAAATGAGGGTTGTAAACTTCTGTTTATGCAGTGTTTGCTTCAGTAGTGTTAAGGATGAAAACACTCTTCAGTGAGGCAAGCAGGTAATCACTAAATGGAATCCCTTCCAATGGCCAAGTGGCACACACCTTCAAACTCAGTGTCCAGAGTTAGAGGCAAGAGGATCAGGAGTCGGGTCATTCTTGACAACCTAATAAATTTAAGGCCATCTTGGCATATGTGAGACTGTCTCAGGGGAAATAAAAAGAAAGGAAGAAAGAAAAAAAGGAAGGAAGGAAGGGAGGAGGGAGGAAGGGAGAGGAAGAGAGGGAGGGAAGGAAGGAAGAAAAGAAAATTGGATCAACTCTATATTATGTAATACTTCTTTCTCTATTGTATTCCTGAAATACTTATGTAAATAAGGCCCATATACATTTCCACAAGGCAGGGTCCCTTAGTAACAAAACATTTGGTTCCAATTGTCAGTGTTTAAAAGTAATTAGACCATTTGTTTATCATCAAGTAGACCCAGTATCCAGATGGTGGATTCTTCTCCCACTGAATGGATCTAATTAACTATCTGTCAACTTTTAATGCATCCATCTAAGAAGCTGCAGCTGTGTGTGGAATTTTCTGTCTGAAGTGACCATGTTTACTTGCTCTGTAAGTCTATACTGAAGCTCATGTGTGCATTCGCGTGTGCACACACACATTTGAAATATATTTTTCTCTGTGTCTTGGCCCAGACAGTGTATTGTCCTCTCTGAAAAAGATTTTGTAAATTAAGACATGTATTTCCTAATCTCATGAGAGAAGTCTTTGTAATGATCTACTTGATTTTCATAAGCAAAGTTAATGATGAATTGAAAATTATTCTTCTATAAAAATAAAGTTTCATAATTAGTTCTTTGAAAAAAAAATCCATTGAGGGCTATAGTAACCAAATTGGCAGCATGAGGTATTTATGTATGACTTTGAATATGATTTTCAAAAGCTCAAGATAGCAAGTAGATTGACCTTCTCCAAATAATGTCAGGGAAATGATGAGATGGATGTGCTCCCAACCCTACCCGTTTCTTTACAAAATCCTCCAGCTTTTGTTAATGGATCCCAACATGTGTTAAACTCTTCCATGGCTGGGTTTTTGTACCGACATGGTAATCCTGTGGTTATTCACACCTCTTACTTTTCTCTGACTTCATCAGTATTCTGAGGGTCTTGTATTCAGCCTAGCCTATTGTGCTCCACAGATCTCTGAGCAGTTGTTGATTCTTACATAGTTTGGTGGTTTGAGTAACAATGGCTCCTGCAGTTCACACATTTGAGTATAGTGTCTTGCTTAGAGAACTGTTTGTTGGAAGATGTGTGTCACTGTGAGAGTTGGCTTTGTTGCAGAAACGGAGGCTTGACCCAGCCTCACTCCCACAGCCTCCTCCCTGCAGATCAGGTTATAGACCCTCAGCTCCTGCTCCAGCATCCCGTCTGCCTGCCTCTGCCTTCCCATGGACTAACCCCCTGAAACTGCAAGCAAGCCCCTAACTAAATGCTTTCTTTCTATATGCTTCCTCAGTCACGGTGTCTATTCACAGCACTATGACTAAGACACTTTTCATATTTCATTTAAATATTGGAGCCTCCTGAGAAACAGACACTTTATATGTAAGACAGCAACACTTATCATCCATTCCACTATGTTTGTCCCTCAAAATACATGAAAAATAATTAGTTAAAAACAATTTATAATAAAATTACTAGGCCATGCTGTTTGGAAGACATCTCTGGTAGCTTCTCAAAGGCAGGAATCACATGTAATGATCTTTGCGTCATCAGAAAATAACCAGCAATGTGAATTAGCCAAAGTAATTGTTTAGTAAACACTCAACAGATTTACTCACTTGAAAAAAAAAAGAAAGAAAGAAAAGAAACAGCAAAAAGGAGTGTTATTGTTATGGGAAACTTCCATTAATTCAGTATACACTTTATAGAACTGAATAAAGTATCTTCAGAATGAATTCTGCAATTGCTTAATTATTTCCAAATATCACTGACTGACTTGCAAGCTATGCTTTCATGGGTGTTGTAGAAATGGTCCTGAAAGTGTTCCATAAGCCCAAATATATTTTTCATTTTTCCTTGTTAACTTACTACATCATGTTATTGCCTATGTGCCACATCACTCACCATATGTGTGTGCATACATATACATGTGTATACATGTAAATGCACATATATTGAAGCTTGAATGTACCTTTCATTCTTTAGGGACATAATAACACAATTTCCCTGGAATGCATGTTTTAGAATCGGATGCAACAACTACGTCATCACTACATATACAATGTTTTAATTTAAATTTAACGTCAGAAAATTAGAAATTGATACTTTGCCCCTGTCTAAGACTTAACACTCTAGACAAACACTAGACAACTGAGCACTAAAATGAAGGCAGGATAATAATAAAATATGTATAATATATCCAAACTTCAATATACATATATGCTTATGAGTCCAAAAACCAATGTGTCTCCCCGGGAGAAAACAAATGGATACACTTATTTAAACCAGTACAGATAGTTTGACGTTACTCCCGGAAAGCACAGATTGTCAGTACAGGCTCCCCCATAACTCGGGGGACACGATGAACAGGGCACTCCTACTTTGTACGGTGCTTCGCCAATCCAGTTACCCCTAGGAGGGAAAAGGAAATGATAACAGTGGGACTGCTTCATCACCCCAAGACCACGTGATCACGCCCTCTAGACACACGACGGTGTCACGCATAGGGGAGCATATAATATAAGGCCCTGAAATTTACATTTAAAAAAAATTCCAAGGCAGCTTCTCCCATATTGCTTGCCTTTAAAATGCTTTTTCTTTGACTAAATGAACAGAATCTTAACTGACCAGTAAGTAACGAAGTCCTGTTTACAATTTCTGTTGATGTCATAAACCATGGACACCAGGCTCAATCCAGCCACTGCATTTGTCATGTGCTCTAGCAGAGATCTAGGCCACAAGGCCAGGGCACAGTTCCAAGAAGCATAGTGCTCCTCAACTTGTTCTAACTCCATCCTAGCACTGCTTGAAAGTAGCCAGGGTTTTAACTCGCAGTAGGCATGGTAACTTGCAAGAGATCTGCACAAGGCTGGGTCCACTAACACTCTGTCAGAGCTGCGGGAGGTGTTCCTAAGGCTCCATCATCCTGTAAGTAGCACTAACTGAACCCATTAGGCGGTCGTTAACAGAAAAGATGTAGAAGCAGAAAGCAGCAGATTGGGGAAAGGAGGTGGGTCATCAGAATAGGCTGAGGTAAAAGGGGAGGTACCAGGGTAGCTATGATCAAAATACGTTATGTGTGTGTAAAGTGCAGCACTGGAAAGAGTTATGTATGACAATGTAAATTAATGAAAATATCAAGGAGTTAGAGGATATCAAATGAATGATACATTTCTGTACAGTTTTTTAAAAAAAAAACAAAAACCATACTTATTGAATAGAGGATAATAATAGTCAACAGTAAGCCCTTTATTTTATATATAATCATCCATTCTTTCATTTAGTGTTCAAATCCATTTATTTACATATTATCTTTCTTAACTCTCTTTTCTTACTTTTTCCACTGAAAGTATCACCCTATGAAAAAACTTCGTACTGAAATTGGAAAAATAATATCCACCTCCCAGTCAAGATTTTAAAAGTCTTAATCACCTATTTTTTTGTCAAGACTATAATCCATTAACATTTTATTAAAACTATCATACATTAATGTTAGTGCTATTAATATTAGCGCAATGCCTTATCTTTGGGGCCTATAAATTAATCAATATTATTAGGAAATTCTATTATTTAGCTGAAACAGAAGAGCTATTTTTTTTAAAATCTGTCTTTGGTTATCTCATTACAGCCTGGCCAGTTTATTACAGGGAGAAATGGGAAAGTGTTTAATAGGAGGGTACAAGGCATAAAAGTAAAAATATCAAACAAATACAGGGTTTAAGTGTCTTTCGAGATATATTTTTTTCCGACTCCTCATTACAATAATTCTGAGGGAAAAATCACAAATTTTCTCCCATGATTGGCATGATTGGCCCAGGCCCACCACTATATCAATGAGTCATGTGGTTACTCAGAGGACTCATTGTCTCCCTCCCTCCATGGGCTGGAAAAACACACGTGTCATGAACCCCATGCTCATTTAGCCCTTATTCCAAATGGGAAGAGAACTCTGGAACATTGCCATTCTCAGAGTTTCAGTTATCAAGAAAGCACTTTATTAAATGTTAACAAAGGTTTATTGATCTTTATAAGGACTACCCAAACATATAACTAGATTTTGTAATCTTTGACAAATAAGTATTATATTTATGTAGGCTATAAGATAATGATGCCGGATAAATTTTAGTCTAAAAATGAGAGAAGGAAAAAAATCTTCTTTTCCAATATGTTGCTTTCCTGGTGAAATAGGTAAGCCAACATTCTAGTACTGATAATTCATAATATTGTCCTGATAATGTCTCTAGAGGATGCTTCTCTGATGCCTTTGATACAGGTATCAATATTAGGGGATGCCGTCGGGTGCCTTCGATAATAATGATTATGAAAAACACAGTGCCAGAGCAGTTATGGCAAGGGGAACTTGGTGAGTTCTGGTGTCTCTACATGCATTCCTTACAGTTTTAACTCATAATCCTTGTCCCTGTGAAATGGAACTTTTTACCCTGCCATTTTTCAAGTCTGTGGAGATGATGATGATGGGGCTGGGGATAAGGAACAGGTCAAGGTAAAGAAGTACTACAGAATAATTCTGTTTATAACATTTTTAAAAATCCCATCTGGCTGCTAATCTCTAACTTCAGTCAAGTATCCAGGCAATGGAACTCAACGTGGCACTTACTTTGGAGCATAGTTGCAGACCAAGTACACTGCACGTCGCCACACAGCCCCCCAGACATTCATGTTTTGGCAAGTATGAATTGCACATCCTATTCGATTAGACGTGGCCCAAACCATCTGCAAAAAATAAATAAATAAATAATAAAAATAAAATAAAATAAAACCATTATCTTCCAATATTGCTTAAAAATATCAATAGCCACCAAATTAAGGAAGGCATTAAAAAAAAAAAAGATAATAAAAAACTAACATAGCAGTTGGAATGACCTGTGTATAATGAGTGCACATGGGACCAAAGCATCGCATAGGACACCGAGGATTGCAATCCTGTGGGTAAGGAAAGGCGTAATCTTTCACTTCGTCATACCATGGCTTGACCAACTGGAGAATCGAACGATATCTAGATGTCAAGAGAAAGAGCAAAAAGGAACAGTACAGCAGGGAGCTGTTTGGTGGGCTCGTCTTACATCATAAATGTGCTATAAGATTATTCATTATAATAAGATCATTTCCACTCCGGACAATTGCTGTCAATATCTGGTAGAGCTCTCGATTTCTCTGAAAGGAGAGGAGCATGAAAACACCCAGTGAGCCTTCACTCACCTAAGCACATTCCTGGCCATTCCCAAAGCAGAAAAACACAAATTATTGAGGCTCCAATTAAATAAAGTCTTATTTAATCTATGAAGACAATTTACTCTATTGGAATTTTATAAATAATTTAGATTTATTAGGCACATGGAAATAGTTAAAATACTTTAACTCTAATGGTAGTGTCCATAAGAATGGATTTATAGAATGTTGACTGTGATCTTCTGCAGTAGAGGGAAATATCCCGTCAGTAAGAAATTACTCATAGTTAACATATACACACATGCCTGTGTGCACACTTATGTTAATACAGATTTCTATCTCACCAGCTTGCCTATTTAATAATTTCATTGTTTGTATGCAATTATACAGAATAATGGGAATATAAACAAACAAATGTAGATGGCTTCTGCCTAATCATGGAGTTTTTTGGATGTGTGGGTTGGGGGATAGGACACCATGCACAATCCTTTCTAGGATTCAGTGGGGTCAATGACAAATACATATGAAGGTAGCATGTTCCAAAGGTAAAAGGGAATTAATTGCATAGGTTTTTTTATCATTAAGTTATCATGAGCCAAACACCATTTCCTGACTCATAGAAATCACTGGAAAATTACTGATACTACTTAAAATTGATACCATTATCTGTAGGGTCTATAAATAATGAGGTATTATTATGTTGACAACTGCTTCCTACCTTCCAGTTCGTACAGATAGATTTTGACCCAAAAACCTTAGCAAATAAGATGGTCCATGGTCCCAAATGCAAGTGGCTGCCCATGCCTCAGCAGATTTTGCAAGATTTTCATCCCAGACCTGTGGAAGTTAAATAGACCTTCAGTTATGTTGAATCTGTTGTAATAAACAAACAAACAAGCAAACAAAAAACAAACAAAAAAAGAGGGGAAAAAAAACAATGCTCCTGTGTCCAGGAGTTCTTCTAATTCAGGGTCCTCTGACTATTCTAACTAAACCAATGCAAATTTAGAGCAGCTCACTTGAAGTTAATGCAATACGAACATCAGCTTGAGGAAGGACTAGGTTAAAAGAAAAAAGTCAAATTACAAATCGATCCATGAATTTTGAATGGATCAAAATCAATTGACTTAGCAAAGTCCTTTTCACAGAAACAAAGAGCCATACAATTCATATAGTTTCCCAAATAAATAGGACCAGATTTATTCAACTTTATTTGTCAAATCAATAATGCCAAGTATATTGTAACTTTCAAAAGTCAGATTGTGCTATAGGCTAGTCAGTTTCATGAAAATCCTCATATTGGATAGCCTTAGAATCTTAATTATCAATAAAACAATATGAAAATGTACTGTTTCAGTTAGTGTGTGCTATACATAACTATAATATAATAATTTCAAAGTGCTACACAGGGTTCTATGCACATACAATACACTACGTTTTAATCAAATTAAAAATTTATTTTGGTTTATGAGAAAAGAAATTAATGGGGATTGCTCATCTATAGTAAGTTATTGTTAGTTGAAAATGTAGACCAAAATTTGCATGACTCTATGATTTCATGAATGTTAATATTAGTCACTAAGTGGATGGGCATTCCAGACTCAGTGTCTGTATAGAGATGTCACCTATGTGAAGATATTCAACTTTCTCTTCAAGTGCGAAGACACAAATATGAATAATTCTTGTATCCAAAAGTCATTGTCCATAAGTTGGCACTGAATCTTAAACTAACAAGTCTAATGTAAAACTGTTTTATCCTAGTACTTAAAAGAATATTTAAAAGAAGTTTTGCTTAGCTGATAATGTACTTATCAAAAATTTGTTCTTCCATTAAAGGTTAATAAAATATAGATTTCTGAAATATTGACTGTACTTTATTTACATGTAAAACTGCACAATATCTTGACAAAAAGGATGGTATCTTCCACCAACCGCATCTCTTGAGAGGTTGTTAATCAGTTATATGAGCAAAAAATGTATGTACACATTTTTTTATTAGCATGTAGTATGCCTTCAGTTTTAAAAATATTTTACTATAATCAACTCAATATGCTAGCACAGCATGGTATACATGGCACTGATATGAAACACAGTGACCTTGTATTTATTGTTACCCAAGGAGAAAGGACTGTGAGGCTGATTGCAGGAAGACAATGGGAAAAGCTAAGCACTGGCTTGTGGAGATAACTTATTTTTTGAGCAGGACCTTGCTGTTGAACTCAGGACCATTATGCCAACATCTCTTGTGAGCTGAAAATACAGGTGGGCAACAGCAGGGGGAACTCATGGAGATGCCTTTATCTACAGTAAGACGTACTTATTTATGGGCTGGGAGCTTGGGTACTGCCAGCATTTATGGTCTGCAAAATGCATTGTTACAATTTTTTCTATTATGTGATTACAGAAATATTTCTCTTCATGTCCATGGGTGGTAGCAAAGATAAAATTATTCTCAACAATTTTTAACTCAAACTTCAAACAAAAACAAATTTCAAATTATACTGCATTATATAAAGAAATCCCTACCCTTCAAAAACGTGAATCTTAAAATTTTGCTTCTTTTAGTCAGTGAAATACATTTTCAAGTAGGATCATTCTGTGTTACAGAAATTTCCTGCTGAGAGTGTTACTGTGATTCCTGAAATCAGTAATTAAATTAATATTGTAATGAATAGTGCCTTAATGTGGGAATTGTCCCTGAAATAACTTTTGTTTTAATCTATTCATCCCTTCGTTGTGTCTTGATTGACAAAGGTGTGGGGGATTTGACACACATACCAAAACCTCAACTGAGTCTCAAGTCCTGAGCTATGAGTTTTATTGTTCTTAAAACACCTTTTAGGGTTTTCATCAGAATAATAATTCCAGAATATTCTTGGGATCTTTGGGAAGGAATACTTAGACCTACTCTGAACCTATTGAATCAAATTCCTGTATTAGAGATCCCGGATGTGCATACTTGTCATGCCAACTATACATGGCTTTATTAACTAAGAATTCAAATGTAACATGTCAGAGAAATACCTTTCTAAAAACCACAAAATCTTAAGGATAAGAAAAAACAAACTTGGCCATCCATTTCCATCAAGCCCAAATTTAAAACAGATATTAGATCGTCACTGAACTCAGTTTATGAAAGTGTGAATCAGCATAATATGCCTATGAAATCTGTCCTAAGGATAATGAACAATAATATACCACCTTTATTCTTCCTTGGTCAGGCTGGCCATTGGCAAACATCTCACTTACATTAGAACACACCTTTGTTGGAATCTAATCTAAATGAGAACAAACAGGAAGTATCATTCTTCACTCAAAGCTCCACAGCTTCCAGCTCTCAAGAAGACTAATGACACTCTTCTTGTGGACACTTGTGCCTTGGCGAGGAAGGGACTTGAGTTTGAATTTCCTGAATTACATACTTATTAGTGTTCCAGGAATTTTCAGAAACCAAATATCTTTGTAGAAACTTCTCTCAGGGTCTCTGTTGCCAACAGTGGAATGGGGGAGCAGATTTATGCACCCATGTATCACTGAAAGGGCTGTGGTTAAGAAAACTTGGTGACTGGGAGGCCAGGATTAATTTCAGTTACTCATTCTGCCTTAACAGGTATCCAAAGATGGTTAGCACTGTCATAGGACAGTTTGCCTATATTATTCTCCAACTTAGAAAGTACAAGAATAATTTTATTTCTTGTTTAAAACTATTTCTATACTCGCTGGTATTCTCAGCTGAAGTGCATGTAGGGAAATTTGCCTGAGGTAGAGCACTGCTGTTTGAAGCAAGTTTGCTGTCTGATAGAGCATTTTGACCAACTTGTAGAAGGCAGAGAATTTATGCTTTCCAAGTTTTGAGTCTCTATCTCAAAATAAAGAGATATGTCCTCATTTCTCAAGAGTGTGATGAGAGGAAGCTTGATACAGATACTAAAGGCTCTTTATCACAGCTCTAAGAGGGCTAGAGTTCACTAAATAATACCTCTTCCTGTTGTTTGGGATGTAAAAATAGTAGTAAGGTGAGGGTATTTGGGAGACACCTGAAGTGGGAATTAGTTTAAGAATGCCTCTCACCAATTTATCAACCATTAACCTCTACTAAGCAGGCAGTCCAATAAAAAGAAAATAGATAAACCTCAAAGCCACTGAAAAAAATCAGCAATAGCATTGTGTAGAAACAAGGCATTTTCTCATAGGGAGAATAGCATTAGGCAGAAGGAGATAGCATTAGGGAATATTTTGGAAGTTGTAAGAGTATTTTCCCTCATTCAAGCATTGTTTAACATCTGCTTTTTACTGTAAAGTTTGAAAATAATTGTTGATCATCTAGCAATGATCCTACTCTTCAGGAGGTTAAGGGGTGCCTGCCTTCTGATAGTGAAGTTTAGGCTGTCCAGGCATTTTCATGAATGGCCAATTTCTTTCACTGACTCAATGTCACAATATGCTAAAAATGGACTTCTTGATGATTAAACTATCCTGAGATACACATACAAATCCCATATCTTTCACTGTTCACTCCTCAGAGTAATCTATCTGGCTACATCTTGCCCACTGAAAAATAATTTCCAAAGAATGTAGAGAGAGATATGGTAAAATGCTCAGGATTACCTAAATGAAATATTAGTGGAAACTATTGTGTTCTTAAATAACATCTTTGTTTCTTTGATTGCTGTGAAATTTAAAAGATTTCATGAAAAGTTAATTCTAAAATCAACACGTTGGGCATCCTACCTATTTGTGTCAAAATGTTTTTTATGTGATTTAAAATGCTATGGACAATATAGCATGGAAGAACTCATATCCCAAACATTAGTTTAGGATGCATTTGTGCCAAAATTTTTCTTGACTGGTTTAAGACATTATTATTTTTAACTTCCTGACCCCTCAACAAATATCATCCTTCAAAAAGTGTCAGAGACAATCAAATACCTGAAGTTTATAACCACCGAATACCCATGGGCTCTTTGTGACACAGGTTTAGATATATTAAATTCAAGATACCAGATAGTCAGACTATTAGATTTCTATATTTTTAGAAACCCTTTGGTTATTTTCCTAAAATATGGCTTGTCCCAAGTGAGATGGAGTAGCTTGGCACTAACTAGGTTCTTAAAACAGATTTGGGTTAGGATGGCATTTTCTTGTAAACATTCTTAAGTAGATTCCTATACACAAAATCTTCAATCCAGTTTCCATGACCCTTCCCAACCTAACTTACAGAGAATGTTCCGTTCTTATTGTCAAATTGTGTTCCTATCACAAACTTTCTCTGTGGAAAATTTTGTCCAATGCATTTTCTCACATTTTATCTGCTTTCCAACCTCCATAGCCGTGTTCACCAGATAGTAATCCCCTGTCATCCCTTAGCTTCCTCAACTTCTCTGTATTTTGTGTTCCCTGACTCAGGGTAACCCAGTTGTCCCCTTCAAAGACTGACTGCTCCATCCTGTAAATCCTTCTCTGCAACTTCATGTGAATCAGCCTTCCTGACCTGATTTCCAAAATATTTCACAGCCCAGCTTACCCTGCTGCCTCAAATGTACTTCAGGTTTCAATTATCTCTCATCCAGACTGTCATGACAGCCTCTGACTGGGCATCCTGTCTCTACTCCTTCCTTACCCCCAGAGTGACCTTTCTAACATTCAAATACAGTTACATAATTTCCCAGCTAGAACCTTTAATACTTCCCTTGATCTTACAGAAAAGCTCAATCAAGTTTCTGTGTTCCCCCTACTTCAGCATTGTAATACTTGATTCTTTTAAACATCAAGTCTAAGTCATGTAGTTTCTATTTCTTCAGTATACCACCCTATGACTTATAGAATCCTTCTATCCT